GTCAAAACTGGATTTAGATTCCCTGTTTAACACCAAACCCCATATTTATAATCATAATAAAGTTTTTGGAGAAAAAACTTATTTCAATGCTGAAAGTCAGGCCAACTAAGTCCTAAGAAAATCTGTGCCATTTGGTCACTCAAGAAGGGAACAATTCCAATGGCTCACAGATTTTACCCTCATTACAAATCTAAAAGGAAGGGGCAAGAAAAGAGAAACAGGATTATGAAGAGGACTTCATTTTTTGAACCAAGGAACGAGTGTTCCTTGGATAAAAGAACATTTGTTGTCTGCTTGCCTGGAAATCATACTTAGCAAATAAGAAATGAGTAGCAGCCTCTTCACAAGTCATTTGGAGGCTACTACATGAAAGGCACACAGGCTTTTGTGGGAAGTTCAAGCAAAGACTAGACTGTGAGACTCTGACCTCTCCTTGCCTTTCCTGGACTCTCTTCCTTGGGCCCCTGTGCAACTGGCTGCTTCACAGCAGACCATCCCTGAATCCCTCTCTGGTCCAGCCCCATTTCTCTACATAACTCCACACTCGTACCATATGGAAACTACGCAGGATTCACCTTTAAATATTTTTCTTTTTCCTCTGGTTGGTTTGTGCCCTCCCCCACACCCCTTGAAGTGACTCAAATGTTCTGTTGGTCTAAGGGCAAAACTATTTTTACCACAGTGTTTGGGAATCTCTGGGCACAAACTGTCTGCAGATTAGGTAAATTACAAGCGCACAGATTCATATTACTCTTAGCAGCCACAAATTTAAAGCACCAACACAGCCCTTCTGAATTGTACCTTTCAGTCACTAGGTGCTGTCTTTACCTCCCACTCCTTAGACCCTCCAACTGCCCTTGCTAGACCAGCCTTCTCTCTGCACGCTAGTTTGAGTTCTGTTCATCCTTTCTCTCTTCGCCCTTCTCTCCTATCTTTTACCATCCTTCCTTCTCTCTGTTTTCATAGATGAAAAACAGTATAATCATTTTCTATCTGGTCCTCAGTTCTACTTTGTCAGTTAAATGAGCCCAGCTGTGTAGCCCTATAGCCAAATCCCCTTGATATAACCCATAAAGATCTCAACTTCTGACAAACCTTTATTGTATCTCTGTATCTATTTCTTCCCTGAGCTTCCTCCTGAAGCCACCCATCTGGATGTACAGGTCTTCTGAAAGCCTTTAACTTTGCCCCCAGGAATACCAGCCCTGTATCTCAAGAACTTCTGTCTGCAAACTCTTTCTTCAAATATTTCATCAGGGGAGAGGAATGGGATATTTCACCATTACACCCTCCCAGAGGGCTGTAGTCTTTCCCTACTTTCTTCCTAATTCAGCAAATCATTTATGTGACATTTACCCAATGTCACTGGCCCCTACAAAACTGAAAATATAATAAGGGAATAAACACATGATATACTATTATAGTCCTCAGTTCCAGCATTATTCCCATGTTAATACTACTCACACAAACCTCTACTTTGTCATAAATATTCTTCTTACAAAATATAGGAACTTTATTTTTGTTTTTCAATAAATTCACCATGGCTAGTTCAGACTCCTTAAAAATTGAGAGGGAATAGAGTTGATATTTTTGAGTGTATATTCCATATCATGGACCCTGTTATTTTATGTTAACAACAAGCCTGTAATGTGTATACTGTCCATGGGATTGCTCTTTACAATGTGTGGTTTAAGAATTTACAGTGCGTGATTAAAAATGGCTTGAACTTAGATTCTGTCATGATCCAAAACTTGATTCTCTTTTTTACCACATACACTCCCTTTCTAAAAGACTAAACTCTCCTGCTAACTCGGCCAAGTCATGATTCTTTTCTTTCTACTCCTTCCACGCTGAGGGACACATTGAACCTTTCTGGGAAATGATAAACAGAAAATTCATTTTAAAATAATTAAGCATGCAACAAGAATGATACAATGGTAAACTACTTGTAGTTTTTCCAATTCTATCACTTACTATTCTCAGATTTTATTACAGATATTCAAACTGCAGGCCTTTGATTTATTAATGACAATATAATTATTCCTTTATTATCTATTTATTTTTTTCTATAGTTTAAAAATTATATTTGGTATATTTAAAGCTAGTAATGGCCCAGTTTATGTCAATCTGTTTTGACCACTTGTCAAAGTCTGTCTCCTAAATTCTACTGAGAAATAACGTAATTGCAATTACAGGCATCTCACATTCTGTAAACAGTTCGAGTTCCAAATCTTCACTAGTTGGTTGTTTGGAATCAGTGCATGTTTTCCTATTGACCTAATCAAATAAAAGATGGTTATTCCCCAAGCTGGCACTTTCTTGTTCCCTCCGCCTGCTTCTTCTCCTCAGTCCCCTAAACAAGAATGAGAAAAGGGAAAAACTACCAAAGGAAGTGCTAGTACTAATGTTTCTGGCCTGGGTTCCAAACCATGTGGGGAAAGAGAAAGGAGGCTTTTAATTTTATACACAACAATTGGACAGATAACAAAGAAAAGCCACTCCTATCTATGAGGCTACGCTTAGCTTCCCAAAACTTTTCTATTGTAAATCATCTTTTTCTACATTTTTCTAGTGGTGACACGTGAATAAAAGAATGAATGGAAAGGGGAGACCTTTCCCACCCTTCAGCAGGTTCATGATGTACAATCTCTTTAATATCTATTGCTACCTCTAAAAGTCAGTGGCCAGTCTATGAGAGGCAGTGCCTTGAATGTTACTTCTATTACCTAAGCTTCAAAATTCCTTGGTAGTTATTTTTCTTGCCTCCTTTTTCTCTGTACCTAATAATGTCAGTAATAAAGAATTTGAATGGAATATACTCCTTAAATTTAGTTTTAGCTGATACACAAAAAGCATAAAATGTTACCTATCGATGGGGTACCATGTGATGTTTTGATACATGTTTGTACTGTGTAATGTACAAGTTAAGCTAAACATATCTATCTCCTCAAACATTTTTCATTTCCCTGTGGTAAAATCTTTTTAAATCCTTTCTTGTAGTTTTTGGAAACTACATAATTGTTATCTAGTCATCTACTGTGTAATAACATTGCCACTTCTTAGTCCTATGTAACTATAAATTAGTGCCCACTGACCAGCCCGTCTTTACCCTCTACTCTCCCTAAATGTGTCATATCTGTAAGTAATCTCACGTGTAAATTTTTTTATTTTTATAACAACTTTGAAAATATGGACATCTTTTGTCATGTGAATTTTATGGATGAAAATGTAAGGATTTGAGATATTAGGGTTTTCTGAGAACCCAAAACCCCAAACAACTACACTGAAGGTCTTCCATATTCTAATCCTAGTACTACTGCTCCCATGTTTTATGTCTTTGTCAATGTCACACCTCCCCCTAGATTCAAACTCCATAAGGAGAAGCATTGTCATTTTGCTATATTATTCTTAGCAACCAGGATACAACGAAACTTTAGTAGATATGCTAGGTAAAAAAAAAAAAAAAAAATTCAGTCATCATTATCTTCATAATTTGAAAAACAATGCTACATAATTCTACTGGTTCAAAAATAAATTTTCAAATTGTTTTCATATCTGTGAGAGAAAGGATAAAGTCTTACTTAAAGCACAAACTCATTTTGCCCATCCAGTGTTAGATTATAAACTGAGTCACTGAAGACTCCCATCCATTTTCTGCCAGCTCACTGGTAGAAATGGAATGAAAGATCACAAAAAATATATTGGCTTATTCTTGCCCTTCTCTGTGTTCCATATCAATTTCAAAAATGTAAGAATGGTTCTCAGACTTGATAAGGAACAAGCAGCTACACGATAACAAAACCATACGAACAACCAAAAATGTCAAAACTTAATATCCAAAGTCTGGGGCTCAGTAAAGGCCCTGAAGAATGAACTTTGGAATAAATGACTTGAATTTAAAATTTAACTAGCTCCTAAATTATCTGGCAGTTGATTCCTTACATTGGCTTCACTATTTTTAAAAATGAAGCCATAGGGAACACAGACTATAGTCCCTGCCTGAGGTAAAATTATAAGCCCTGATGTTTTCCATCTTGGTTTCAGACACTGACTATAAAGCCAAAATGAAGGTTGACTGTCATCCCAAAGACCACTTATCAGAAGTCTTTCCAAAGTTCTAGGGAGGAAATGAAATCAAATAAAGGCACAGAAAGAAAGAGGGAAAAACCTCCAAAGAAGGAGGCAAAAACTCTCTAACAACTGTGCTTTATTTTCTGCATAAGAATTTGTCTTAGCCCTGACATACTTCTATGTGATAAATGATAGTTCATATTCATCAAGCAGCCATGATCTTCACATGCAACATAGTGTTTGGATTTTTGCCAAAACTCTATGAGGTAGCCACTACTGTTCTGGAGAAACCGAGGCCTTGTACTCAGGGAAACATAAGTAAAGTCAACCTAGCCAGGACTCTAAAAAATCTATGTAGAAAATAGAGCCCCTACATTTTACCTTGGCAATATACTGCCTCCCAAAGAACAGTGGTGTGTGTGTGTGTGTGTGTGTGTGTGTGTGTGTGTCTTGGAGCACAGACAAGCTGCAATTAAAAATTATATTTTCTTGCTAGTGCCTTCGTTGTTACCTTTCACCCCTGAATCCTATCAAAGTCAATGAACAGAATGTGAATGGCGATGTAGGGAGCCCCCAGTGTGTCGGACAGGGGCCAACAAGCACCTGGGAGGTGGCTCCAGGTACATCCTGAGATATCAAGTACCTGTGCTGTGAGTCTTATCACTACAATTAGTTTTAAAGAGGAGTAACTATACATGTTGCATCCCATCACCTATTTCAGCCTGTGCATCTTATTTCCTGTTGCTCTACCATGAAAGGAAGCAATTCAAATTCTGGTTGCCCTTCTCCAGGAAAAAAAAAAGTAACCATAGAAGGATCCAGAAAGTCAGAATCACTTCAGATGTAACATGGGATGGCCCACCCGCCAGCCACCCAACAAGCTCCCAACTCATCTTACAGCCTTAGTAAAACAGAGGAAAGAGATTTACCTGCTTCTATTGAGGCTGAAGCCTGAAAGTCATGTATAACCTTGAAGGACTGTAATGGTTTTAATCACAGGAATAGCAACTTTTTGACAGGCAGGAGACAGAAAAGAGCCACCCTGAACCATACTGCAAATATTAACCAGGCTATTTTGGAGCCATGGCTATTGCCTTTGAAATCTTTCATCATGACTCTATACTTAGACTTCTGATGAGCCCTGGGGGAGGGGAAGGGGACAGTGTTAATCCCCAGTTGTTTTGAAGTTGTCCTGTAAGCAGGTTTACTGTCTAATCTGTCCCGAATGGAAACATGCGATGCTTTGTTTAAATTAATGCTATTCTGTGAATTTTCTCTAAACCTGTTCCTCACATAGACAGTCACATCACTCTGGGAGATGCCACTTGTAGGTTTTCTTTCAAACTAGATGTTCTAGAGAGCGGTGGCTGTAATCACATTGGGAGACTGATGCTCCATGACAGCTAAAAGTTGGATTGAGTTTCAGGAGCTACTATATATAAAGCTAGGTCGCCTTCTGTCACTGCACTAATTAAATGCCATCTGGGTGGTTCCTCTGGGTTTTTGAGTCCATCATCCAGTTCAGAACAAGTCAGAGGCCAAGGAAGAGAACATGATGATGGACCTTTTTGAAACTGGCTCCTATTTCTTCTACTTAGATGGAGAAAATGTTACTCTGCAGCCCTTAGAAGTGGCCGAGGGCTCTCCTTTGTATCCAGGGAGTGATGGTACCCTGTCCCCCTGCCAGGACCAAATACCCCCAGAGGCCGGGAGCGACAGCAGTGGAGAAGAACATGTACTGGCGCCCCCCGGCCTGCAGCCTCCCCACTGTCCCGGCCAATGTCTCATCTGGGCTTGCAAGACCTGTAAGAGAAAATCCGCCCCCACCGACCGGCGGAAAGCCGCCACCCTGCGAGAGAGGAGAAGGCTAAAGAAAATCAATGAGGCCTTCGAGGCACTGAAGCGGAGGACTGTGGCCAACCCCAACCAGAGGCTGCCCAAGGTGGAGATTCTGCGGAGCGCCATCAGCTACATTGAAAGGCTGCAGGACCTGCTGCACCGGCTGGACCAGCAGGAGAAAATGCAGGAGCTCGGAGTGGACCCCTTCAGCTACAGACCTAAGCAAGAAATTGTAAGCCCCGATGCTGCCAATGGAAGGCTGATTAAAGGGCTTCCTGGGGCCCTACCCTCCAGCTGTTCGCCTGGCCCTTCCCTCCCCTTGCTCTTCCCCCTCCTGCTCTGCAGCGAACCCCCAGTGACCCTCGATGACCTGGTCTCTGCAATAGGCAGGAAATGCATACGGGCCCAAGGAAGCAGGAGAGACAACCCCAGAAGCACCCCTTCCCCGGAATTTGTTTCTTTCCTAATCTTCTGCTTTGGTTTTTCCCTCCAGCTCGAGGGTGCGGATTTCCTGCGCACCTGCAGCTCCCAGTGGCCAAGCGTTTCGGATCATTCCAGGGGGCTGGTGATCACCGCTAAGGAAGGTAAGGAAAAAGAGGGGCAGGGCTAGGCGGAGCGGGGAGCACCGCGGGCGGGAGGGAGCTGCGGTGCTGGTGCAGGCCCGGAGCGCCCGTCCTCCCCGGCGGAGGCGCGCACTGCCCCAGCGCCTTCCAGGCGCACACGGGTCTGGTCTTCCCAAGGGCTGTGATCTTCTGTGTTTGTTTCTGTACTTAGGCGGAGCAAGCATTGATTCCTCGGCCTCGAGCAGCCTTCGATGTCTTTCTTCCATCGTGGACAGTATTTCCTCGGAGGAGAGCAAACTCCCGAGCGCGGAGGAGGCGGTGGACAAGTAACCGCGGCCGGCCGGCGGCCGAGCGCTGGGCACCTTTCCGCCAGCAGCAGGAAGAGCCCGATGCCTAATCGTTTAGACTAGGTCACGTTGCATTACTATTTAGGAACTCAGATTTCAGCGTTTATGGAAGGAAAAGAGACATAGTCGCAAAGAAACTGTTGTGCAGATTCCAATGAAAAAGGCCTTTCAGCTCGGGCTTTTGTTCTTTGGAATCCCGAGTGGCTTAGGTCTAGCGCCCTTCTTTTTGTGGTTGTTTGGTTTTGTTATATATTCACTTTTGTCACGGTGTTTCTTTTGTGCCATATACAAAAGAAGGTCATTCCTGTCTAAGCAAAGCGAGAACGGTGAATCTTAGTGGTATTTAAATGTATTTTTGTAAATAATCTTAGTACTTTCATTTTTTTAAAAAAAAAATGTAAACCTAAGAAATATATTTTAAACGTGGAATGATGGATTGTATATAAAGTGTGTGAGGATCCTGGTATTGTAATATTAAAAATACGTTTCTATATGAATAAAGTTGCCTTAATTTGATTCAGCTGAGAAAATATGTCTGAGGGCAACAATAGAAAGATAAATATTCTAATTTAGAGGCTGCACAAAGCCATTTACTTAACTGTTCTTTTTCATACTGACTTAAAGGCAGAAAATGAGTTCTTTTGTTTTGTCTAAATTAAACTGAGCACTTCAATATTTCATGTAGATCTCTCACTTATGATTGAATGTAATGAGTATTCAGGGGAATCCATGTTTTTACTTTGGCCATCTTTTCTGTTCTACTATACATTGTCCTATACATTGTACAATGTTCTATACATTGGCAATTACTTACGCAAAGTTAGCAGTTAAATGTTCAGGCTACCACGACCGACCGTACTTCAAGAAACCCAAGCAAGCATCCTTGCTTATTTCCATTTAAGGTTTTCAGACCTGTTAATCAGAATTAGGTTTTCCCTCCTTGACATTCCCAAGAGCTCTGCGCTGGCTGGCTTCCTCCGATGGTTTTCTTGAACTACACTGGTCCCTGACAGACTGCAATATCCTCAACGCCTCTTGGGCTTGAGTTTGTTTTCCAAATAGAAAGATAAAAGAAGGGAGCAATCTGTCTCTGGAGGTGAGGGGTTGCTTGGAGAGAAGGAAGGGTTAAATGGTTGAAGAGAAAAGACAACAACAACACACATGAAACCTCTTAGCTGGGGCAAACAGCAAGTCCCCGAGAGACTGAAGCCCCAGGAGTTCCTCACCGTGAGGATTTTACAACGTGTGCCAGGTTTGTTTATCTAGTAACCTCAGGAAGAAACGACCACCAAGAAACACAGTGGGAAGGCAGCGGAGGACAGGCGCAAGCCCTTTCTTTTGAATGACCACGGCTCTCTTACATTCTGTAAACAGTCCCTTCACTCCTTCCCCTAGTCCTTAACTTTTACCTTCTCTTTTACCCCACAGGTAGTCTTCAGATCAAACAAAATTTAGCATTCTGCATCCAACTAGCTTCCTAACCCTCCGATGGCTAGAGCTTCCTGCTTATGGCCCTGCACAGAAGTTTCAGAAAGTACCACAGACAGAGTCCCCTTCAGGTGTGCAGCTATGTCTGGCCCCTTTTTCATCAGGTCAGGAAAGAATGCCTCTTTCTGTAGGTAATACAGATTAAGTATCACAGATTCTTGAGACCAGAAGTGTTTCAAATTTTGAAATATTTGCATAGACACTGTGATTAAGCAGCTCTAATCCACAAAATTCAAAATCTGAAATGCTCCAAAATCTGAAATGTTTTGAGTTCTCTGGCAGCAGTCCAAATGTGTGTATTTCAGAATTTGGGCTTGTGGATTAGGTATGCTGTATCACTAGTTTGCCTTATTAGCATATGGATAACTCATCTCAAATACATTCAAAATGCAGATGAGTTCATAGAGGAAATGGACATTGCCGTATAATCTCTTTTAAAGGCTAAGGAGAAGCAGGTGGAGGGTTTAGTGGGTGCAACTGTTGCGCTTTCAGGAAACTGATGGCCTGGATTAAACCCAGGCTGCTATTGTGGTCATCCTGGACTAGTCACTGGTCCTTCCTACTCAAGTGCCTGGCTCTTAGGGTTGTGAAGATTCACTGAGATAACATATGTAAGGTGCTAAGCCAAAAGAGGGCACAAAATAAACACTAGATAGCAGATCTCCATATATTTTTTCACTAGTAAAACTCAGTTAACCATTGAGAAGTTTTTCTTTCACCAAAAGCCATGATTCCTTCAACCTGTTCTGGTTTTCGCTGGAGAAAATATTCACAGTAGTGAGAACTGCAGTACCATGAATGACCCAGTTTTATTGGGTTTTGTATTAACTCAAAATTCTACAATGACCACTGAGAGAGGTACTGTTACTTCTTCTACTTAGAGAAGAGGATTCCTGGCAATCCAGAGGCCCCGCCACCTGCTAAGTAGAAAGCCAGATCTCAGAGTCAGGCAATTATCAGTGGCTGCAACCTTCGTGCCTCAACTGCCATGAACCCTGAAAGAAAAGCCTTGGGAAGTTAGGAGCATTTTATGGTCTTTACAATAATTTGGCTCACTTTGACTATTTTTTTCCCAAGAGTGCCTAGCTACTGAACTCCCAATTAGAACAATAGCTTTCTTTGAGAAGTAAATGATAAAGTACTTACCAACCAAATTACCCAACCAAAATATGTGTGAAATATCTGGTGTGTATCCCCCATTAATCATGCATATTATGTATCCATGATTTTTTCTACAGTAGCAGTAAGGGTTCACCCTAGAATGTATATATACACGTCTATCTTTTAAAAAATCAAATTTATTATACCACTGAAATAATAAATCATAATTTATTAGAATCATAAATAGAATCCTTTTCTTCATGATTCTATTTATACGTATAGCAACATTTCTGTTATAAATTGTTCAGCAGTTTGTAGATTTCTTGCTGATTTTTTTTTTCAGGCTTTGCAAACCAAATCCTTTCTATCTTTCTTAGCTAGGTAACTTGAGAGATTGTTTGGAGTAAGTTTGCCTATGGAAGTCTCTTCATTAAATAGAGAAAATATTTCCCAAAGACTTCATGTGACCTCCGCTGCTGTAGCCGACTTACTGGATTTTCCAATGAAATTCTTGGTGTGTTTGCAATTAAAATGTTTTTGTTTGATATTAATGATGATAATCTTTACCAAGGCCAAAGCCAAAACAAACAGATCTGGGGAAGTAGAAAATCAAGCCATAATAACTTGGTAAAGATAAACAATTTGGGATTGAAACCAAGTCTCTTTCCAGAGCTTCATATAGTTTTCCAGCATAAAATAATGGATTGTTTTCTGTTATATTATTATAGAAATAATTTGTGGGACATTGTCAGCCCTTTCCACCTAACTTGGGTCATCATATATAGCACATTAAATTCAAATTTTGGCCATGGTATGAAATCCACTATGACAGAAGGTCTCACATTT